TCTCTGGAGGGGGCGGGGTCTAACTCGGGGTTATGGTGGGTTTGACCCTAAATTAATTTTACGACAGAATATCCCTTTAAAGATGACACATTTTAGTAATTCTCTTTTCACTCTGTCAGTCCAGGATGTTAATAGAGTAGCTTTGTGTTCACAGTTTTAAAAACGTTGTTGTCCCAGAGTTCCCTGATTGGGGGTGTTGGACGTCATATTCGATAATAATCTCATATTTGTCTGTGAAAACCCTCGTTTCAGCTTCATTCAGCCTCGAGAAATCCAAGAGCTCACATGTTGTGTCACTCCAGCGTGACTTTGTTACGTGTTACAACGCTGAGCTGACAGTTTTTGTCTGCTAATGCTCCATTTGATTGGACATATTTACCGTATCACTGAGGGAGTGGAACAAGAGAAGGAACCCTACCCCTGACCCTCGGGGGATTTATCTGACTTTAAGAGGGAGCTGATCTGTGTTCACACTCTGAAAGCTGCTGTTGTCATGTTAGGGAGATGTGTGCATGCATTAAAAACAACCAAAGGTGAAGCTAGTAAGCTCTCCATGCTAATGTTAGCTTCAGTTCAGGACAAGACACTGACCACCTGGTGTGAGAGGTCCTGCCCAGGGGAGGGGCTAAAAGACTGATCCGTCAGCAGACAGGTGAGTCTCCAGGTGAGTGTGATGACACAGACCAGTTTTACTCTGACCACAGAGACCCGTTTTAGCGTAAGAGAGTCTGCAGCTGTTCAGTAAACGTGACATAAAACAGAGCGACAACACGGGACCGTCCCCGTAAACCTTAGGGGTTCGAGTCCTCAGTTTGACTGTTAGTGTGTTTGTGTGTGTGTGTGTGTGTGTGTGTGTGTGTGTGTGTGTGTCTCACCGTCATAGTTAACTATGATGATGGCCAACATGTAATCCTTGCCCATCATGGCTCCACCCTCCTACGTGTGGGGTCCAATCAGCTGATCACCCTCCAACACACACACATTCACACACACACACACACACACTCGCACACACACACACACACACACACAGGCCCAGATGACAGATGTTAAAGCCTCCTTCCCGACTCTCTCTCTCTCTCAGTCAGCCTGTCTGTGTTGGTGTCTCTCGTCCCTCCGTCTGTCCCTCTCTGAGGCCGCACCATCAGTCTTCTTCTTCCTCTTCTTCTTCTTCTTCTTCTTGTCTTGTATTTCTGTTTCCTGTGCCGGTGTCTCTCTCTCTCTTTCTCACTCCGCTCTCGTTCGTCCCTCCTTTCTCTCGCTCGTCCTCTCTCTCTCTCCTCTCTGTGGGATGAAGGATGCTGTTTTCCTCCTCCTCGCTCTCCCTTTCTCTCCTCTCTCTCCTCCCCCTGATGACGCCATCACCCTCCCCTCCCTCCCTCCCTCCCTCCCTCCCGGTCTGCCTCACTCGACCTTCACTGTAAAAAAATCACACACACATACACACACACACACACACACACACTGATACCGTCCAGTGTCTGTTTTACAGTTCAAACACATAAATGTTTGATTATTTTAAACGATCAGCTGTGATGGTCTGAGGTGACAAACAGCCTGATCATAAAATCTGTTTTTAAAGTTAAACTTCAGAGACTTTCACTTCATGTCTGTTAATTCCACACATTAAACACTGTGTTCACCCTGCAGGTCAGTTCTGATGTTTTAACCATCTGTGACTCATATCTGATGTTTTCATCTAAGTGTGAACAGGTCAGTTCTGATTGGTTCTGATCCGACCCTCTTCTGTATGTGGATATAAATCAGATATGTATCTGATGTGACTGCAGTGTGACGCTCAGGTCGCGTTTATCCGACCTTTACGTCATCAATATGAGACAAACGTCACCATTGTTCAACAACACAAACAGGAGCGGAGAGATATTTGTGTTTTGTGTTCATGTGGGTCACTTCATGAACGTATTTGTTGTTGTAAAGTGAACGACGCACAAGAAGATCGGATTGAACAAAAATCTGAATTGTGGATCAGAACCTGCAGAGTGAACATAGACTAAGTCTGCCCCGAACTTCAGCCCATTAATGATGGTCTATCAGTCAGTAACAACCTTAAAAACATTAAAAACAACAACAGAGAAAAACTCAAACTCCAGAAGAGAAAACTTCATTTCGTAAATTTACTCTTTTCTTCTGGGTTTAAAACGTTTATCTTTATTTTTGACTTTATTTTGTTATTTATAACTTTTGTTTTTCTGTTTCTTTTAAATCTGTGAATTAATTTCAGTAAATTTAAAAAAGTTATATCTTATGAAATTCAAACTTTACTCTCAGAGACGGCAGAGAAACTCTTTAAATATGCTGAATGTTCAGGTAAGTTCAGCAGACACACCTGTGGTCGAGATCCTGACACCTGATTGGCTGCTGTGGAGTGTCAGTCCTCTCTGCTGAAACAAACAATAAAGTTCAGATTTGATGAAACTCTGAGTTTGTCTTTCAGAACAAACAGAGGATTTCATCATCATCATCATCATCATCATCATCATCATCATCGTCATCATCGTCATCATCAGCCCCTCCCTCCTCCGCCCTCCATCCTCCACCTGACGCTCCCAGAGGTCACATTACGTCAATGCAGGTATGACACGGTGGCCACGTGTACCGGAAGAGTTTGGATGGCAGGCAGAGCGTGAAGTTCAGGAACATCACAGGAAGTCAGACCAATCTTCCTACAAAATAAGAGCAGCAGTTCTCTGAAGACCCACAGGATGCAGGTTCGAGGGCCGAAGTCTCAGTCCTGCAGTCCTAAAACAGCAGTCCGTCACTCTGCAGACACATTAGAAAAATAGAATACAGATTTTATTGTTTGTGAAGGTTAGGGGGTCAGGGTTAGGGTTAGGGGGTTAGACTTAGGGGGTTAGGGTTCGGGGGTTAGGGGGTCAGGGTTCATCAGGTTGGAAATCAGGGGGGACAGCAGCAGAGGGTCACGGCCGGGAATCGAACCAGTATCTGCTGTGATGAGGACTACATGAGGCACCTGGACCACGAGACCATCTACACCCCCAGAAAAAAACTGAAATCTTTATTTGGGCTTCAGGACACAACAAAGTACAACATGGACCAGTTTAACTGCCTGTTTACAGAAACCCATAATAACCCATAAAATGAACAGATGTAAACGCAACACGTGACTAAACAGACACAACTAAACTACTTCATTTTAATATTATATATTTTTAGGGGACTTCATTGAGAAAAGCCAAACGCTGAACGGAATGTTTTATTGTGAAATTCAGACCGGATGTGGTTGTATTGAATACTTGAGTTTGATGTAGAATCAGCCAAATAAACTAAATATCAGGTTGTTGTTGAAACGCGAACATCTCTGTGAATAAACTGAAGGTTAATATAAATATTGAGGGTTTTAAAAAGTGCGGATTTTGTCACTTTGAGCCTCTTTAGCTGTTCGTTGTTCCGGTTCCTCTAAGAAGATTCAGTAGTTTTTTTTAACACGGTGGAGACAAACATGGAGGACATGTTCATCAAACCAGGTCAGAATCAGCTCCTCTGTTACATATAAACATAAATACACTGATATTAAACTCAGTAAACTGATGTTAGGTTTGTTTGATGAAGATAAAGACCGGCTCGGTGCAGCTGTCGCTCTCCTGTCAGCAGTTAAACCGTCTGAAGGACCCCGCTGTTAAAACTCATAATTTTAGTTACTTTTCCTCTTTTTGGATCGTGAGAACAGAATTAATCAGTAAAACTTGGATAAATAAACAGATTACACACGGTTCTTGGCTTCGGCGTACAAAATGTGTACCAGTCAACAAATAAACAGGTAAAAAAACAGGTTTCTGAGGCTGAGTCCGAGTTTGTCACCGGGGTGAAGTTAGTTTGAAGTTGGATATTCGACATCAGGGGGAAATATTTCTTTAATAAACAGTTAATTTAAACGAAGAGATTAGAAATATAAAAACTAAAGCTGTCTGAGATATGCCTCTTATCTTAGATTTATAAAGAAGAAGGGTTCCCCGGAGTGAATATCACACTCAGAACTGACTTCACCCAAGTTCTTCAGTTCTGACTCATTATTGATTAAAGCCGTTTGGTCATATTTAGCCTATCGATAATGTCAGTCTACTTTAACCCGGATTATCTAACCCTCTCATAGTTTGTGTTGGTTTTATAAGCAGCAGTTCATGTGATAATCTGCAGGTTTCAGGATTTATTCAGTCATGTCAGAGTTAAAAAAAAAACAGACACAACTTTGACTTTGACTGAATAAACACGATCTTTAGCAGTAATTTCACAACCTCAGTTTTTGATGTCCTGAAAGTTCACAGGACAGAAACACAGAAACACTTTCACTGCGTTTATGGAGTAAACAGGATTTTAACCTGTGGAGAATCATCGTCGTTATAAAACCAGCTCCTGTTTTACAGCCAAACCTCAAAAATATGACAAACAGGCTCAGTGTTACAGCTGAGAGATGTTATCACAGCAGAGAAGGAAGGTTAGAGACTCTGTGAAGATCTCCATTAATACTGAACCAGATCTCCAGGTTTAGGACCAACATCTGCATCCATCCAGACCAGGACAGAGAAGACCTTCATATGATCCAGAACCACATCCTGACAACAGCATGGCTCTGTAGGAGAGCAGTCCTGCTGAGAAACTGGACTGAGGAAATCTACTTCTAGACTTCTAGAATCAGCATCTCCTCATCCATGGTGTCATCGGGGTGAAATGACGTCTAAAAACCTTTCACTTGTTCGTCTCCGCCCGTTTGCATGGTGTGAAATACGATCCTCCTGAAACACGGAGTGTTTTATTTTGAAAAGAAGCCGGATGTTTTATTTTGTGTCTGTGCCCGACTTCCTTTCCAGCACGGGTTAATCTGTGCTGAATTTATCCGCCATGCTCCGGCGTCCACCCCCCGCAGTGACAGTCTACGTTTCAGTCTCTGTCGGTGAACTGGTCTGAAGCTTCAGAAATTAAGTTTGTTAGAACGGCGGTAAAATGTCGGGATCATGTAACTGTTCGGACTGACCTCTCTCTCTCTCTCTGTTGCCAAGGAAACCAGGAGCGAGGATGGAATGACCCCCCTCAGTTCTCCTACGGCCTCCAGAAGGCCCACGGACCCCAGAGGAACCTCCTGAATAAGAGGGTAGCTCCACCTGCAGCCTCAGGTCAGTGTGATCCTGAACCAGCTCACCTGGGGGACCTGTCCTCCATCGTCCTGCTGTGATCCTGTTATCGTCTAACGTCTTTGCTCTGATTGGCCTTTAGGTTCAGGAGCCCCTCCAATGACTCCTCCTTCCTCCAGCCCTCTGGCCCCACCCCCAATGGGTGCAGCTCCGCCTCCTAGGTGTCCAGGTGAGTAAGAGATGAAGACAAGAGTTCAATAAAAGCTCAACAGTTCCTCACGTATGTCTCCGCCTCACAGCTGGTCCGCCTCCTGGCTGTGTTGCCACGCCCCCTCCACCTCTAGGACCAATGAGAAGTCAGGGGGAAGCACCCAGCAGCCAACCAGAGAGTGAGCCTGATGTAGAGGCCGTGCTGTCGGTGTTGGACAAAGCGCTCACCGCCTGCAGACAGACCGTGAAGGTAAGTTCACCTCCACACCAGCAGGAGGCGACACACAGGTGACTGACAACACACACGCGTCACCATGGTTACCGCTCAGAGGTAACGGTGTGAAGTACAAAGACAGGTGTGTCAGGAGGCAGTACCTGTCAGTGCAGTTCCTCAGGTGGCCACAAGGAGGAAGTTCAGACTGAGTCTCTGGCTGTGTCTCATTTCAGAGACCGCATCGATCTAAGTGCCCTTCTGCACCGTCGAACGGTGCATTTGAAGTGTGCATGACGTCACGACGGTGCGAACGGTGTCCCGTTTGGCACGAGATGCTAAAAAATGCTAAGCGCGCTTAGCATGTTTTCAAGCGTGCATTTATCCACGCTTTCGTGCCGTCGGTATCCCAGAATCCATTGCGTGCCGCTGCACAGCTGCGCATTTCAGGTGAGAGGCTGGACTCGCTTGGAGACGCAGCGCGTCTTCAAAGAAATACAAGCAATCCAAAACCAGCAGACAGTCAGCTCAGGCTGTATGAGAGCATGATCTCTGAACTCACTAAAATCTGTAAACCAAACATTATAGATTTAGAGACGAACTGATCCGCTGTGTTACAACTATCAAAAACATTAGAAATAAGAAAGCTGACAAAACTACAGCAGAGTATCAGGACAACATTGAGGTTTTTTTTTCTTTTAAAATTTAGAGATTAAAGTTGTAAATTTAGGAGAATAAAGTCATAAAGTAAATAAAGTCATAAAGCTGCTTTTGTGGAGGGGGAAATGACTGAAGCTGGTCATCTGCAGGGTTATCTGTGGATGTATCAGCGGGTCATTCAGAGAGATTTTGTGGTTTCTGAAGAAACAATCAAACTGATGATGATCAACATTTGTGATCCAGAGGGAGTCGAGCTCCGACGAGCACCACGTCTCTGACACCGGCGGTAGCCTACACCTGCAGAGACACCAACACCTTATTACTGCATATGGATTCATATCATAAACTAAAGCTCAATGTCATTCACGGATATTTACGGCTGCATTGACAGATATATCCTCAGCATATTCATTTCTGCCTCCACAAAAGCAGCGATTTCCTTCAAGTACACCAATTTTTTTCCCGTGGAAAAGACGTATTTCTCATATATTCTTTTTAAAGTCTTTATACTTATGACAATGTGATGCTGATGTGCCAGAGGATGAAGAATCTCCTATCCTCCTTCTCAATAGGGCCCTCATACTCCTTCATACAAAACAATCATTGGATTAATTTTGTGGGAATGATCTGGGCTTGTATGTATCTACTATTTTGTGCCTGTGCAAGGTCGCACAATTAAAACAATACATGCTGCGCTCCGCAGCTTTTTTTCTAATCAGTCGTGACGTAAGCCTGAGGGCGGGGACATTTGGAGACCTTCGGAGGACTTCCTGGTGGAGTTGCCAAATGTCCCCGCCCTCAGGCTCGCGTCACGACTGACTTAAAGGAAACCCGCGGAGCGCAGCATTTAATGTTTTAATTGTGCGACCTTACACAGACACAAAATAGTAGATACATACAAGCACAATTCATCCAATGATTGTTTTGTAAGAAGGAGTATGAGGGCCATATTGAGATTTAAGACTTTAAGGACTTCGAGATTTAAGTCGTGAATTTACGAGAATAAAGTCATTAATTTATGAGAATGAAGTCATAACCTGTTATTTCAGAGAGACTTGTTAAAATTAGGGCCATGAAGCATTTGAAGGAACTGTGCTTCAGTATAGGTTTCACAAACAAGGAGATTCTTCATCCTCTGGCACATCAGCATCACATTGTCATAAGTATAAAGACTTTAAAAAGAATATATGAGAAATACGTCTTTTCCACGGGGAAAAATATTGGTGTACTTGAAGGAAATCGCTGCTTTTGTGGAGGCAGAAATGAATATGCTGAGGATATATCTGTCAATGCAGCCGTTAATATCCGTGAATGACATTGAGCTTTAGTTTATGATATGAATCCATATGCAGTAATAAGGTGTTGGTGTCTCTGCAGGTGTAGGCTACCGCCGGTGTCAGAGACGTGGTGCTCGTCGGAGCTCGACTCCCTCTGGATCACAAATGTTGATCATCATCAGTTTGATTGTTTCTTCAGAAACCACAAAATCTCTCTGAATGACCCGCTGATACATCCACAGATAACCCTGCAGATGACCAACTTCAGTCATTTCCCCCTCCACAAAAGCAGCTTTATGACTTTATTTACTTTATGACTTTATTCTCCTAAATTTACAACTTTAATCTCTAAATCTTAAAAGAAAAAAAAAACTCAATGTTGTCCTGATCCTCTGCTGTAGTTTTGTCAGCTTTCTCATTTCTAATGTTTTTGATAGTTGTAACACAGCGGATCAGTTCGTCTCTAAATCTATAATGTTTGGTTTACAGATTTTAGTGAGTTCAGAGATCATGCTCTCATACAGCCTGAGCTGACTGTCTGATGGTTTTGGATTGCTTGTATTTTCTTCGAAGACGCGCTGTGTCTCCAAGCGAGTCCAGCCTCTCACCTGAAATGCACAGCTGTGCAGCGGCACGCTAAGAATTCTGGGATACCGACGGCACGAAAGCGTGCATACATGCACGCTTGAAAACGAGGCGGGGGTAGTGTGGTTTTGAGACCGAATTTGAAGCGCGTTTTGTGCCAAACGGGACACCGTTCGTGCCGCGTGGTGACCTCACGTACGCGTCAGATGCGCCGTTCGATGGCTGCTGTATCTGAAATGGGACACAGGAAGGGCACAGAACGGCGCAAAACGGCGTAAAACGGCTCAAAACGGCAGTGCACTCAGCTAAGCGCCGTTAAGCGCGCTTATCACGATGCGGTCTCTGAAATGAGACACAGCCTGAGTCTCTGTGTCTCAGTTCAGGGTCGACACACGCTAGTGCAGATCTTAAACTTCTCGTAAATTCACGACTTAATTCTCATAAATTAAAGACTTTATTCTCGTAACTTGACGACTTTAATCTGAAATAAATCGTAAGTTTACGTCCTGTCCTCTCATTGGTCGTCACTTTGTAACCTCTGTGTTAGTGCTGGACGATAATTCGATAACAATATATATCGATCGATAGACGTGTGGTACGATAGAAAAAAAACGGGTCGATAAAAAGTTCGATAGAAAAACACAGTTTCCCTTTCTTTTTCATCATAGCCTATCATGTAGCTTTTACTACAGTCATTACTTCCTCCCAACCAATCACAAACGCAGACCCAGGTACGCTACGGCACCAAGCCCAGCCCCTCTCAAACCACAACAGACAGCACGTGTATTAGAAAAAATGATACAGCAAGGAGAAGCGGAGGACATTGTCCCGAAAAAAGGTTTCAGTAGTTCACCAGCATGGCAATGTTTTGGTTTTTAGAAGTCTGACAAAAAGCGAACAGCGGTCGTTTGCAAAATTTGCAGAGAATTAGTAAAAACCAAGTCTGGTAACACAACCAACTTGTTTTACCATCTAAACCGATCGCACCCGCAGGAGTACGAGCTGTGTCGGCCGCGCCGCGGCTCCACGTCGTCGGAGGAGGAATCCTCTGGAACCGCTGCCAGCACCAGCACAAAGCATGTGAAGCCGACCAAACTGGACTTCGTTTCTTGCCAAAATACGACAAAGCGTTCGAGCGGCATAAGGACATCACCCATGCAGTAACATGCTCCATAGCGAGGGACATACTGCCAATAACTACCATTGAAAAGCCTGGCTTCGACCAGCTTCTAGCCACTCTCGACCCGCGATATGAAGTGCCCGGCCGCAAGTATTTCTCAAACACAGCGCTTCAGGCATGAAAATGGGTCAGGGGTTGAAAAGGTGAGAAGGGTGCGGAGGAAATACGTTCCGGTGTTGTACCGTAGAATGCACCCCTGTATCCCGTCCACTCATTAGCTTCTTAAAGTGGAAGAAAATGAGCTCATATTTTACAAAGACGCGAGTATTTGGATCATGGCTACTAGCAGGGGGTGCATTCGGCAGGGGTGCATTCTACGACACAACACCGGCGTGGATAAGTCCTGCTTCTCGTGCTTAGTTTGTGTATTAAGTCAATCACATGATAATTAAAAAAAAATAAATCTCCCGACCCCGGGAGAAATATTTTAGTGTTCAGACACCAGGCTGTGGGCAGTTTCCCACACAGTTAAAACTGGTAGTATGCTATTCCCACCTAAAGCTATTCTGTTTATTTATATATTTGTTTGTTTTGTTTATTTTCATCAAAAGACTATTTAAATATTTATTTATCAGATTTTCTGGTCACTTTAGTCTTTATGTTTGTCAGTATTTACTGATGTCACTCAGGCCACTTAAGTTGATTTCTTTTTTTTTTTAGTTCTTTTTTAAAAAACTTTCAGTTGTGGTAAAAAATAAAAAAGGTGGTTGAATAAAGGTTTGAATTTGAATTCAGTGCTTGTGTGTTCTTTATTAAAAGTAGGTCATTAAGCAATAGCATAAAAACATCCAGGGCTGCAATTAAAATATATGTTAAATAATTATAATAATCATATCGATAATTATCGATATCGATCAATATGATTTATTTTTTATCGATATGCTTTTTTTCTATATCGTCCAGGCCTACTCTGTGTACTTGTTAGTGTGTATTGTTTGGTGTCTGTGTCTTTTGTGTTTATGTGTCACATGTATGAAAGGTCACATGATATCAGCTGATCGACCAGGGTCACTCAGACAGCCACTGACCTCTGACCTCTGACCTCTGCCTGCAGGAACAGGTGTGCAACGATGTGGGGAAGAGGCTCCTCCTCCTCAGAGACAGCTGGTCCTCAGGGAGATTGAGCCTGTCAGTCAGAAGACGAATGGACAACCTGTCTCAAGGTAACACCTGTCCGTCTGTCCATGTCCACACCTGTCTGTCCATGTCCACACCTGTCTGTCCTCACCCTCACCTGTCCGTCTGTCCATGTCCTCACCTGTCCGTCTGTCCATGTCCACACCTGTCTCTCCATGTCCACACCTGTCCGTCTGTCCATGTCCACACCTGTCCGTCTGTCCATGTCCTCACCTGTCTGTCTGTCCATGTCCTCACCTGTCCGTCCATGTCCTCACCTGTCTGTCTGTCCCTGTCCTCACCTGTCTGTCTGTCCATGTCCTCACCTGTCCGTCCATGTCCTCACCTGTTTGTCTGTCCATGTCCACACCTGTCTGTCTGTCCATGTCCACACCTGTCTGTCCATGTCCTCACCTGTCTGTCTGTCCATGTCCTCACCTGTCCGTCCATGTCCTCACCTGTCCGTCCATGTCCACACCTGTCTGTCTGTCCATGTCCTCACCTGTCCGTCCATGTCCACACCTGTCTGTCTGTCCATGTCCACACCTGTCTGTCTGTCCATGTCCTCACCTGTCCGTCTGTCCATGTCCACACCTGTCTGTCTGTCCATGTCCACACCTGTCTGTCCATGTCCTCACCTGTCCGTCTGTCCATGTCCTCACCTGTCTGTCTGTCCATGTCCACACCTGTCCGTCTGTCCATGTCCACACCTGTCTGTCTGTCCATGTCCTCACCTGTCTGTCCGTGTCCTCACCTGTCCTAACCCTCACCTGTCCTCACCCTCACCTGTCTCTGTCTCAGAGCTCCAGGTGGGTCACTGGGACTCGGCTGATGACATCCATCGCTCTTTGATGGTCGATCATGTGACTGAAGTCAGCCAATGGATGGTTGGCGTCAAACGACTCATCGCCGAGACACGGAAACTGAGTCCAGAACACTTGGAGGCTTTCCTGAAACCTGCAGAACCAGACCAGGACCCAGCAGAACCAGACCAGGACTCAGCAGAACCAGACCAGGACCCAGCAGAACCACGTCAGGACTCAGCAGAACCAGACCAGGACTCAGCAGAACCACGTCAGGACTCAGCAGAACCACGTCAGGACCCTGAAGGACTTGTCCAGGACTCGGTCTCTGAGTCTTGACTCTGTTAGTCCTGCAGAGACAGACTTTGTTAGTTCTGGTCTGGGGTTTCTCCTAAAGGGGGCACATGTTTACCTGGTTCCGGTTCTCCTGGACTCTGGACCTGAACATTTCTCTGAGACGTTTGTTATCATGTTGCCGTGGTAACGCGGTATCAGACCCCAGTGATCCTCATGTATTACTCTCTGAACATGTGTGTGTGTGTGTGTGTGTGTGTAGTTCTATAAAAATACACAAACTGTTTATTATCAATCAAAGTGGGAGGAGATCAGATCTGACCAATCAGGGCTCTGCGCTCACCTGGAGCCTGAAACCTGAATGTAGAACCATGACCCGGCGCTCTGTGTGGACTGTGATCAATAAATAAAGACGAGTCGATCAGTTTCAGACAGATGTTCGGTTCTGTTTCTGTTTCTGAGCGAAAGTCGAACAAAAACATCAACGGTAAAGTTCGTGGTTTCAGGATCTGGTTTCTCATCGTGGGTCATCAGAACCTCTCTGTGAACCTTCATGAACTCAGGAGACCAGACCGCTGAGAACAAACCGGGTCGACCCTCTACGCTTTAAAACCGAGGACGCAGCATCTGTGAGTTCAGTTCTTAGACCAAACGTCTCAACGAAGTCCAGATGTCCTTTTTAACGAAGAACCAGAAATCCTAGATGCTGCATCCTCAGTTTCAAAGAGTCGAGGGTCCACAGCTGATGTGATCTCTGACCCTGGAGCTGGTGGACCGGGTCCAAACGGTCCCGAGATCTTTGAGAGGAAATAAAATCTGAACCAGAAATCAAATCAGTTTCTGCAGTGTGTTTGTTTGACCAGCAGGGGGCGGCACACTGACACACAGCAGCTCCTGTCTGTGTGTGTGTGTGTGTGTGTGTGTGTGTGTGTGTGTGTGTGTGTGTGTGTGTGTGTGTGTGTGTGTGTGTGTGTGTGTGTGGTTTTTCTAGTGTTTCTGGACCTTGAAAAGTGACCCGGACTGAACCTCTGAGGTAATAACGGACCGTTTCTGAGGAGTGGCGTCCGGGTCATTAGAGGTCCCGGGTTTGTTCTGTTGGTGAGAACAGGCGGCTCCGTGTTCATGTCACAGGTTTACAGCCGTGGATCAGGTCCGGACCAGAACAGTCCGGGTTACTTTTGGATCTGGACACATCTATGTAGATCTATGAGGATCTCGGTTCAGACAGGAACATGGTCCTGTGAGACAGCCCACCAGATGTCCTCACATATGTTCAAGAACCAGCCCAGTTCTCCCAGTTCTCCCAGTTCTCCCAGTGCGGCCTCAGTCAGCTGTGACAGGAGGCGGGTCGACCATCTGATCAGTCAGCCTGCAGGGGGCGCCGGACTCACCTTCAAATTCATGTCAGAGTTTTTCATCTGGACTCTGAGCTCAGCCTGAACTCTGCTGACCAACACTCCTCCTCCTCCTCCTCCTCCTCCTCCTCCTCCCCAGAGAGGAGGAAGAGGAGGAGGAGGAGGAGGAGGAGGTGAAAAGAGGAAGCCAAGCAGAAAAGATGAGTGACAGAAAGAAAGAGCAGAGAGGCCCGACGGAGACAAACTAAAAATAGAAGAAGAGGAGAAGGAAGAGAGAGGAGGTGAAGGAGGAGGAGGAGGAAGAGAGAGAGGAGGAGGAGGAGGAAGAGAGAGGAAGAGAGAGAGAGAGGGGAGGAGGAGGAAGAGAGAGAGAGGAAGAGGTGGAGGAGGAGGAAGAAGAAGAGAGAGAGGAGGAGGAAGAGAGAGGAGGAGAGAGAGAGAGGGGAGGAGGAGGAAGAGAGAGAGGAGGAGGAGGAGGAGTGATCCTGGGCCTTTAGGAGACAAACATGAAACCCTGAAGATTTGACAGAAACCTGAATTTTCCTGATTTTCTTCTTTAACAGTAAAAAAAACTCTGACCCGTGTTTTTAAAACGACCCGGAAACTAAAGGGTTAACGGACCAATCAGAGCAGAGTCAGATTATAATCTGGATCTGGTTCCTCTGGGATCATCTCAGATTTCAGACCCTCTCTGCTCCGCGGTGTCGTGAAATATTATCGGCGTTTATAAACTCAGTGACGGAACAAAACAAACGCCAACTCAGCGTCAAATCCACTCGCTCCGTGAGACCGCCGATCAGCTGATCATCCGTGACATCAGGGTCCAGATCCAGGGTCCAGATCCAGGCCCTCTGAAACAAAGTACTGCGAGTATCTGTGCAAGTAAACTCAGGAGTACATGAGAGGGTCAAGGACTACAGTAGTTTAAGTATCTGAGTCAGTATCAGGAGTACTTAGACCAGAACCTGCAGTACTAATATCTGTCAGTATGAACTGGATTTAAGACCAGTACCTACCAAGTACCTTAATGGAGTACTGGTTGTACTTGTATTTGCAGTAGAACTTTTAGTTGATGCAGTAGTATATGTAGTTGATGCAGTAGTATTTGTAGTTGCTGCAGTAGTATTTGTAGTTGATGCAGTAGTATATATAGTTGATGCAGTAGTATTTGTAGTTGATGCAGTAGTATATATAGTTGATGCAGTAGTATATGTAGTTGATGCAGTAGTATATGTAGTTGATGCAGTACTCCTTGTATTTGCAGTAGTATTTGTAGTTGATGCAGTAGTACATGTAGTTGATGCAGTACTCCTTGTATTTGCAGTAGTATTTGTAGTTGATGCAGTAGTATATGTAGTTGTTGCAGTAGTATATGTAGTTGATGCAGTACTCCTTGTACTTGTATTTGCAGTAGTATATGTAGTTGATGCAGGAGTATATGTAGTTGATGCAGTAGTATATGTAGTTGATGCAGTACTCCTTGTACTTGTATTTGCAGTATTATATGTAGTTGATGCAGGAGTATATGTAGTTGATGCAGTAGTATATGTAGTTGATGCAGTAGTATATGTAGTTGATGCAGTACTCCTTGTACTTGTATTTGCAGTAGTATTTGTAGTTGATGCAGTAGTACATGTAGTTGATGCAGTACTCCTTGTACTTGTATTTGCAGTAGTATATGTAGTTGATGCAGTAGTATATGTAGTTGATGCAGTACTCGTTGTACTTGTATTTGCAGTAGTATATGTAGTTGATGCAGTAGTATATGTAGTTGATGCAGTAGTATATGTAGTTGATGCAGTAGTATATGTAGTTGATGCAGTACTCCTTGTACTTGTATTTGCAGTAGTATATGTAGTTGATGCAGTAGTATATGTAGTTGATGCAGTAGTATATGTAGTTGATGCAGTAGTATATGTAGTTGATGCAGTACTCCTTGTACTTGTATTTGCAGTAGTATATGTAGTTGATGCAGTACTCCTTGTACTTGTATTTGCAGTAGTATATGTAGTTGATGCAGTAGTATATGTAGTTGATGCAGTAGTGTATGTAGTTGATGCAGTAGTGTATGTAGTTGATGCAGTAGTCTATGTAGTTGATGCAGTAGTGTATGTAGTTGATGCAGTAGTGTATGTAGTTGATGCAGTAGTCTATGTAGTTGATGCAGTAGTGTATGTAGTTGATGCAGTAGTGTATGTAGTTGATGCAGTACTCCTTGTACTTGTATTTGCAGAAGAACTTTTAGTTGATGCAGTAGTATATGTAGTTGATGCAGTAGTATTTGTAGTTGCTGCAGTAGTATTTGTAGTTGATGCAGTAGTATATATAGTTGATGCAGTAGTATTTGTAGTTGATGCAGTAGTATATATAGTTGATGCAGTAGTATATGTAGTTGATGCAGTAGTATATGTAGTTGATGCAGTACTCCTTGTATTTGCAGTAGTATTTGTAGTTGATGCAGTAGTACATGTAGTTGATGCAGTACTCCTTGTATTTGCAGTAGTATTTGTAGTTGATGCAGTAGTATATGTAGTTGTTGCAGTAGTATATGTAGTTGATGCAGTAGTATATGTAGTTGATGCAGTACTCCTTGTACTTGTATTTGCAGTAGTATATGTAGTTGATGCAGGAGTATATGTAGTTGATGCAGTAGTATATGTAGTTGATGCAGTACTCCTTGTACTTGTATTTGCAGTATTATATGTAGTTGATGCAGGAGTATATGTAGTTGATGCAGTAGTATATGTAGTTGATGCAGTAGTATATGTAGTTGATGCAGTACTCCTTGTACTTGTATTTGCAGTAGTATTTGTAGTTGATGCAGTAGTACATGTAGTTGATGCAGTACTCCTTGTACTTGTATTTGCAGTAGTATATGTAGTTGATGCAGTAGTATATGTAGTTGATGCAGTACTCCTTGTACTTGTATTTGCAGTAGTATATGTAGTTGATGCAGGAGTATATGTAGTTGATGCAGTAGTATATGTAGTTGATGCAGTAGTATATGTAGTTGATGCAGTACTCCTTGTACTTGTATTTGCAGTAGTATATGTAGTTGATGCAGTAGTATATGTAGTTGATGCAGTAGTATATGTAGTTGATGCAGTAGTATATGTAGTTGATGCAGTACTCGTTGTACTTGTATTTGCAGTAGTATATGTAGTTGATGCAGTACTCCTTGAACTTGTATTTGCAGTAGTATATGTAGTTGATGCAGTAGTATATGTAGTTGATGCAGTAGTGTATGTAGTTGATGCAGTAGTGTATGTAGTTGATGCAGTAGTCTATGTAGTTGATGCAGTAGTGTATGTAGTTGATGCAGTAGTGTATGTAGTTGATGCAGTAGTCTATGTAGTTGATGCAGTAGTGTATGTAGTTGATGCAGTACTCCTTGTACTTGTATTTGCAGTAGTATTTTTAGAGCTGACTCTCAGAGCTGGCGATGTTTGCAGTCTTACTTTCCAGCACAGACAGAGAGGATGTAGTTACCATGGAGACCGTGTGTGTGTGTGTGTGTGTGTGTGTGTGTGTGTGTGTGTCCTGCTCTCTGATTGGCTGTCAGGGTGGAGTGGGCGGGCAGGTGGAGCCTCTGAAAGCGTCACTCGTCCTCTCTCTCTCCCACAGATCAGCACAGAGAGGCCGAGAGACGAAGCTCCTCACTGCTCTCTCCTTCTTCATCCCTCCATCTTCTTCTTCTTCTTCTCCTCCTCCTCCTCCTCTTCCTCTCCTCCTCCTCCTCCTCCTCCTCTCCTCTTTCCTAAACCACAGATTTCTCTCTCTCTCTCTCTCTCTCTCTCTCTGTCCGTCCGTCTCTGCTGTTCTTCTTCTTCTTTCTTTCTCTTCTTTTCCTCCTCTTCCTCTCTTCCTCTCTCTCTCCTCCACCCTTCAGACAGACAGCTTCAACTCTTGGCCTTCCTTTTCTTCATCCTCATCCTCATCACCTTAGAGGAAGACGGACAGGGACCCCCTGACCCTCTCCCCCCCAGGGTCACCATGGCAACGGTCATCTGCACCCGTTTCACTGAAGAGTATCAGCTGTACGAAGAGCTGGGCAAGTAGGTATCCCCATCTTCATCATCTTCATCATCTTCATCATCCTCATCCTCAGCAGCTCTCTGCTGTCTTCACATTCATATTTCAGTCTAACTGCACACAGAATCATCATGATAATATTAATAAATAATAACGATAATAATAGAGATTAAAGAACTTGTGGTAATTTTCTGTATTTTTATTTTTTATTTTAATGAATTTTTTTATTCGTTTACAGTTTTTAATATTAATGATAGTTTTTTTTCAGTCTTAAGTGACGATTGAAATGATTTTTAATTTCAGTAGAAATGTCATTTAAAATCTTTTTAAACTCATAATTCTGTTTAAAGATCACGTTCAGACTCTCTCTCCTGTTTGTGTTTTTAAAAAAATGATTCTTTCTTTACTGGTTTTTAGACGATCATGTTCTCAGTTTTAAAAATCTCTCTGATTTATAACTCTGCTGGTTGATTTCATATAAAGTGCACGTCGTCGTCGTCGTCGTCGTCGTCGTCGTCGTCGTCGTCGTCGTTGTTGATGAAACCTGTTGATTTCAGTGAGAACGAGTTCACAGACAGTCAGGTGATTTATGATTTATTGATTGTGTAAGTGATCAGTCGAACCCATCAGATAGATCGAGGATGGAGGGATGGAGGGATGAGTGTTTCACCTTTATGACCCCATCCCACACATCGCCTACACACACACACACACACACACACACACACACACACACATAATGCCAGGTCTCTTACATAATGTGATGTGGGTGGCAGAATTCAGCTTTCATAAGAAACACAGACGCAGAAATCTTTCTGTGGAGAGTTTCAGAGATGAGTCAGAGAGCAGGAGGAAAAAAAAACCTTTTCTTTATTTCAGCATCAATATTCACAATAAATACTCAATATTTCTGTTATTGATCACCCTGCAGAGACAGAACTGATCCAGGCTGAGCCGCAGAATCAGAGTCGTCCTGAACTTTAGTCCTAAAACACTAAATCCTACATATCCCACGATGCACCTGTGCTGTAATGAGTTTACCTCTCATTAGAGGCTCACTGAGGCAGATAATCTTCATCATCATCATCATCATCATCAACACCAGCAGTACCAGTAAAATATGATTTTACCAGTAAACCACCATCTGTTCAGACGAATTAATGCAGAATAAGAAGGAAAGAATTTAAAGATCGAACTTTCAGTTTTACGTCAAAATTCACCTCCGATTTTAGATCAAAACACGGGAGTTAGGGGAAGAGTGAACACGAGTGAAAACATGTAGGAGTGTGAACATTATAGAAACATGTAGAGGTGTTAACATGATTAAAACATGTAAACGTGATAAAAAGATGTGAAAGTGTTAACATTTGATAACATTTAGAAGTGTTGACATTATTAAAATATGAAGAAGTGTTAACAGTAAAACATGTAGAAGTGTAAACATGATTTAAACCTGCCGTCGTGTTACCCTTTGTAATATCAGTGGTTTAATAAAAGTCTTGAAAATGTCTCAACATGAACAAATGAAGGTTCTGATTCTGGTTCTGATTCTGCAGCATCAGCAGTATTTTTGACTCCTCAGAAATACTTTCATGTTTCTTCACTTCAGTCGTTCACAGTGGAAGTATTTACAGTATTCTTAATTACAGCACAGAGTGTTCGCAGTTTTACATCAGCAGGTAAATCAGTACGAAGAACTCGAGCTGCGACGTGTCGGTGAGACTCGTCCTCCAGGATCAGGAGTAGAAAGTATCTGAGCGTCTCTCTGACGACGTCTCGTCCGTCTCTTCAGACAGAATTCTGTTTTCTTCAAGAGTCGACCTGATTGGTTCCTTCTCTTGTGTTTCCAGGGGAGCTTTTTCAGTGGTGCGGCGATGTGTGAAGGTGCTGTCCGGTCAGGAGTACGCCGCCAAGATCATCAACACCAAAAAACTGTCAGCCAGAGGTGAGGACCTGAAGGAAGACAGTGAGCGGTTCACACTCACTGAGCTCCACTGGGGCTGAGTTATATCTGTGTTATACACGAGGTCAGAGGTCAGGGGAGGTCACATGTCAGACATGTTTGAAGGTCATTTGTGGGCGGAGCTGACAGACTCAGAGGTTAAAACGATAAAAAAAAACTGAGAGGATTTAAAGAGACAGAACACCGTGACAACGGGTCCGAACCTGTGGATCCAGATCCTGATCCAGATCCAAGTGAGTCATCCTGAGGAGACCGCAGGCCGAGGAGCCGAACAGGAACGTCCTGATTGGTTCTGATAAAAAACTCGGACCTCTGACTTCCGAGGAAACTCGACCGCAGCAAAAGTTCTGAAAGTCGATCTTCAGAACAAACGAACTGCAGAAAAACTCACTTCCTGTATTTACGGTGCGGTCAGAACTCATCAGATCAAAGCTGCTCTAAGAACCGGACTGTGACCCGGTTTGGTTCTGCCTCAGTTTGTTCTGGTTTCTGGTGGTTCTGGTACCGGCCTCAGTCAGACGCTCAGGGAACCGCAGGTTTTAGTCCCTCAGCATCGACTTCATTTCTGAAGACAGGAGACAGATACTTGGTTCTAGAGTGTTGGGTTCTGGAGTGTTGGGTTCTGGAGTGTTGGGTTCTAGAGGTTCTGGAGTGTTGGGTTGTACTGAAGTGTTTCAGAGTCTGAAGTGGGGGGTTTTAAAGTTTCCAATCAGAGACCAGGACAGAGTTTTTGTGGGGGGGCAGACTGAACAGGACCAGGTCACAGGATCAGTTTGGTTCTCTTTGTCTCAGAGTCCGATTGGACCTCCTGGTCTCTGAGGTTCTTCAGACTCAGAGACTCCTGTCCCTGTTTCAGGTCTGCTGTTTTTAGCGTTTGGTCCTCCTGGTTCCTTCAGGATTAGCAAAGTTCTGAACAGGATCTCGTCTCTGTGTCGTAGTCTGGATGTCAGTGTGAGGAGAAGACTTCGAACCCGAGCACATCTATATGGTTCAGCGCTGACCTCTGACCTCTGACCTCTGACCTCTGTGTGTCTGGTTCATGTGGACAGTTCTCCGTCCTCCTCACTCCTTCATCATATTTACAGTCACTCTCTTCTTTCTGCTTCGATTTTTTATCTCTGTTCTGGAGAATCGGAGAATTCCTGTGGTTGCCTAGCAACACCTTCGAAAGTTGACAAAGACAAGTGTGTGTGTGTGTGTGTGTGT